TGGATACTAGGGGGGGAGGGGGGGGGGGCACTCGGTTTCAGGTTTTACCACTCCAGGTTTTACCTTTTTATTATTAGAGAGCTTTAGATACGCGTTTACGGCGAACGACAAACGTCAAAACTGATCACGTGATCACTGTTTTTCTGTATTAACGCTCCGTTCTTTCGCGATTGTGTATACACCTAATTGAAAAATCGTAGTCGTGTTCGAAAAGGTCACATCATTGAAGCTAATACCGAAAGCGATTTTGAGTACCACTAAATTGGGATTACATTTGCATATACAGTGTACCGTAAATCAAGTAGAGCTAGTAAGATTAACAGTATGCTAGTCATTTATGCTGGAGAGCTGTTTGTTATGAAATTAGCCAAATTGTTTGTCTTCCCAAGTACCCTTTCGGTCTTAGCTTCTATGATTTGACCTTTTTGGACCCGACAACGTTTCTCCAATTAGGTGTAAAATAGATCACTTTTTCGTGCATAAGCGCATCAGTATTCCTTTCGAAGCGTTTTTATTTTTGTTTGAAATTTTGAGACAAACCATAAAAGATAATTTGACGTTTGGCGTTTGCAGTAAACGTGAATCTAAAACTCTCTATTTAGAGAGTTTTAGCATCACGTTGACGGCAAACGGCTAACGGCAGAGCTGAACCAATGACAAGAATTTCGTGACCGACCTTATGCTTTTGGTAGTCATTTGAAAGAGCGGCTTTTCACGATTATGGCAAGCCCAAAATAACCCTCTCGCGCGTTGAACTGCAACGTTAAACTCAAAAGAGCAGGTCACGTGATCTTTTCTGCCGTTTGGCGTTTGCCGTGAACGTCATGCTAAACCTCTCTAGAGCTTGGGCTACCTGGCAACATGACGCTATAAAGAGACAACGTGATCTGGAAAATCTTTAGCGAAGGAGAATCGTATTGAGTTTCACGAAATCTATGACGATGACTTCTACGGTTCCCCTTCTTCTGGCTTTCCCATATGGCTTGGCGTAACTCAGCTCGTCGTTAACTACCGAAGACAGCCGAACTTTTTCCGACTACGAGGCGAAACAATTTTCTTTAAACTCAAATCTGATTGGCTTAGAGAATTACTTTTGTAAGGCTGACCAATCACAAGACGTGATACAAAATACAAACTTGTTGAAACGCTCATGGGACGAAAAGTTGTATAGTTGAAGACGAAAGTTTTGATTTCACTGATTGCTTTGCAGCTTTGGAGGTGCACAGAATCGTTTCAACTCTTACACGATGCCAGCCAAAGGCAAAAATTCTGACCTGACTGCAAATGGTAGCGTGCAATCAACTTACACATGTCATAAGTCTTACTATAAAGTCTCAGACGTTTTGTCCATTCAATATTATAGGTAGCAGCCAATCTGATAAGGATTCGCCAGTATCTTCACAAAAAGAAGTAAGCGTACATTCATTTTAGTTTGTATCATTTTAACAGTATTTCAATTTACTTTCTTTTCATTATTGCTTAATTAAGATAAGCTTACTTTATAGATTACTAGAACATCGTCAGATTCGAAGTCTCCAATCGATTCCAAAATCTCTTCGTACTTTTCTACTTCCCCAAGCTACAAACAAAGTTCAGCAGCACAAACGTTTAGTGATTCACAACAATCACAGAGTAACTTATCCCCGGGTTCATCTAAAGATTGTACCGATGCAGACGTTGACCAATCACAGACAACAAATCAGAAAGAAAAGAATGTTGAAAAATCTCCAGAACATGTCAAGCAGAAAAGTGCATCCCGTCAACTGCTGCTCAGCCCAAAACAAGACTCGAATTCAGGGAAGAAGAAGAAAACTACAAAATCAAAGGCCAAAAGGTAGGAGTGCTTTTACTTTATACTGTATATTTTAATTATTGCTATGTTTATTTGTGTGTATGTTTTCCTTCAAAGTTTTTGAATAAAAATCAGAGTGTTCAGTCTAGAATATATTAGGCTGGCGGGCAAATGCAGGATGAGATGCAAGATGGATAGCACTGTTCTTTCAGTGTACATTACAAATAAAAATATGCTACTGTAGCCAACTTTCATTCTATGAAACACTGAGAGATCATGGCAAAATGCCTACTCAAACAATCCAACTTTTTTCAGCAACAAAAAGGAAGAAACATCAAACCAACCTTCCATCACAAAGCATTTTGTTGTGAGAAGGAGTCAAAGAAAATGCAAGTCTAAAATTGAGGTATTTTGAGTTACAATAATGATGACTATTCCTTTGTTGTGGCCTGTTTGTTGTCTGTGAAGTGTAGTAACTTTGTATGTACTTAATTTACAGGAAGAGAAAAGAATGAGCATTGAAAGTGCAATTTTAGAAGGAAGAGAAGAAGGCTTAGAGGTATGTATGTCATTATTTGTAAATACTCTGATATTCTGGTTTTCACGCCCCATTCAAAGGGAATCTTGTGATTGGTTTAGAAAACAATAATTATACAACAGATGCTCTTTCAAACAATAAAATGAAACCTAACCTAACATTTGAGGTTCTGTACCAAGGGAGATACATAAAAAAAAAACAGATTTTGAAGGGTTTGTGACAACAGTAATATCCAAAAGTATAATCATGCAGCTGTCACATGGCTATAAATATTTAGCTGATTGAGATATCATAGATTGTAGAAGTAACACTGCCTTTTTCTATGTTTGGATCCTAACTTCCATAGGTTTTGAATTAGGTGGAAAGTTATCTACTAAAATCTGTGCTTGATATTACAGGTCAGAGATGTTGATGGGAAAGGGAGAGGAGTGTTTGCTTTAAAGACTTTTGAACGGGGTGATTTAGTGTGCGAATATGCTGGTGATCTAATAGACGTAAACACTGCCAGAGAAAGAGAAAAGAAATATGGAGAAAATAAAGACATTGGCTGTTATATGTACTACTTTGCATTTGGAAACAAGAAATATTGGTAAGGTGTTTGATTTGTTTGTTTGCTTTTGGTTTCAAATTTTTCCTGCTTTTAAATAAATTTGGGCACTCCTGCCAAATGTCAATCATTGCAAGCTCACAAGTCATCTCACTTTGCTGAGAAGGAGAATATGTATAGTTTACAACATGAGCGGCCGTGTTGTATGGGAATTACAATCTCGAGCCGCAGGCGAGAGATTGTAATTCCCATACAACACGGACGCGAATGTTGTAAACGACTTATAAAACTCCTACACAAATTAACATGAATTACAGTGAGATAAATGACGAAAAATGACAAATAAGGTAACTGCTGAGTTTAGTYCCTATTAAGCATGCGCAATTTACTGCAACACAGAACATTTTGAATAATTATCCATCCCACATGGAAAGCAAGCCATCTGTTGCATAAGCGAGTTCTGTTATCCGTCTTTGATTGCTTCAAAACCTAGTGAAGGTCTATGATGCGACAATAAAACTGAGACCTTTGCTAGTGTTGGGTTGTCTCAATGGTGACTACCGTGTTGTAAATCTGATACAACCACTAGTGGTTGTATCAGATTTACAAGGTCAATCACCTGATTAAATGGTCAGCCCTTATTGGAGCAATAGCTTATGCATTATTAATAAGTTTTATAAGTAATGTTTACAACATGAGCGGCCGTGTTGTATGGGAAATTACAATCTCGAGCCGCAGGCGAGAGATTGTAATTCCCATACAACACGGACGCGAATGTTGTAAACGACTTATAAAACTCCAACACAAATTAACATGAATTACAGTGAGATAAATGACAAAAAATGGCAATTAAGGAAACTGCTGAGTTGAGTCGCTATTAAGCATGCGCAATTTACTGCAACACAGAACATTTTGAATAATTATCCATCCCACATGGAAAGCAAGCCATCTGTTGCATAAGCCAGTTCTGTTATCCGTCTTTGATTGCTTCAAAACCTAGTGAAGGTCTATGATGCGACACTAAAACTGAGACCTTTGCTAGTGTTGGGTTGTCTCAAGGTGACGACCGTGTTGTAAATCTTATACAACACTAGTGTTGTATCACAGTGTTGTATCTGATTTACAAGTTCAATCACCTGATGAAATGGACAACCCTTATTGGAGTAATAGCTCATGCATTATTAATAAGTTTTATAAAACTACATACATTTACATATATGAAGTAGCTCTTTTAAAGAAATTTATAGCAAAATGTTTGCAGTCATCTAAATGTTAGGTTTCTTGCTCTGAAAAAACAATAAATATAATCGTTTGTTTACTCAACAGTGTGGATGCAACAGAGGAGTCAGGGCGATTAGGAAGATTACTCAATCATAGTGTCAATGGCAACTGTACAACTAAGGTAATATCCATCAAAGAAGATCCTTGTCTTATTCTAATTGCTGCAAAACACATCAACCCTGGGGAAGAACTCTTGTATGACTATGGTGAAAGAAACAAGGATGCCATTGCCTCTCATCCATGGCTGCAGTTATGAGGACATCACATGATGGCCAAGGCAGTGTAACTAATATATAATAGAAGTCAGTACTTTAAAGTACCTGAACATGAAATGATGAGTGCCACTTGTTTCTTTATTTTTTATTTATTGTATTACACATTGTAAGTGGTACTCTCATTCAAATTATTCAAATTTATATCAGACTGCCATGTACATGAACAGTGCATCATTGGAACTTGTAAATATGATTTTAAACCAATTCATCAAGAATTTATATATTCATATACAAAATGAAAATCTCATCTTCTCTTGTCCCAAAATTGTTATCAAGTGGATATTCTAATCTGTATGAAACTGGTATTTGCAGTGGAATTAAACATTCATGTGGACAGTTTGTAATGTTTTGTAATTTTTGTCTAAAAAACAATTCTCTCCTCACCACAATAATGTTTTCTAATTTACATAATTAATGTACATAAATTTATGTACAAATTATAATAATAAAAAACACAGTGTTCCTAAGATTTAATTTATAAATGCTAAAGTTTGTTAATTTGTGGAGTTTCAAGGGAATATAGAACAAAGTCTCTATTGAAAAGAAACATTTCTGTAGGAATTATCTTGAGTTTCTGGTCTTTGTAGGCTTGTGCAACAAATTTGTTGGCTTCATTGACTATTGGACTTGCAATGTACTCATCTAACTATAAACAAAAACAACACACATTTACAAAATACATTTACATTATAAAAGTCTTGTCTTCTTCATTTGCTTTTTTTTTTGCTTTGGTTGGTATAAGAAATGGAGGATTGTGAATGGCTGTTCAATGTGTACAGTTTTCTGAAATTCACTGGACATGTCAGAAGCAAAGGAAAACCTAATTCTTCTGATTTCAATTTATTTAACTCTGCCTCCTTAATATCTGTTTTTCACAAGTTCAAAAGTCTCTAAGTATACCACTGTCTAAGATTCTCAATGAATTTTTTTAAGACAAAAAAATATTTTCTAAATTCAATTTTCCTGATACTAGTAGCATTGAAGAACATGTTATTGTTTAACTTACATCCATCCACCTGGCATCCTCTATTTCTGTAGGGTCTCTGTTTATATCTGTATTCAAAGGTTTCAATAGAAATACGAAATAGAAGTCAGAGCACTCAAAACGAAAGTCTGGGATGTGACGCACACTGATTAAGGACACAATCTCTGTTTCTATTCCAGTTTCTTCTGCTACTTCTCTTTTTACTGCAGCTCTTATGTCTTCCTCTGAAAGTGCATGAAGTAAAATCTTTTTAGGCACTTTAACTGACTGACCAGTTAAAGTAATATTACAAAAGTAAAAAAATTAATGGAACTTTTCAAAACAAGTCTATTTAAATAGTTTCTCATTTTTTAAGTTACTACACTATTGAGAGGAGAAGTCGTTCTTGTGCTTTCAGATGATAATCAGTACAGTGGGAGGCCTATAGAGCTGACGTCTCTTCTCAATAGTTTGGTAAGCCTGTGATTTTTCATCTCTACTGACATGGATCTAATCCTATTTAACATCGGCCATACACATTTTTCAACAAGTCATCTCTAAGAAAGAATTTTTTTTTGTAAATAACTTACTATGATCTACCATTCCACCAGGCAACTTCCAGTGATCAGACTTTCTATATTTTTCTTTCACTACTAGTAATTTGCCATCACTGATAACAAAACCACCTACCCCTACAACACATTTAAGAATATATAAACTGTGACAATCCTTTCTTGAGGAGTCTCCAACAGATTAGGTTTCATGTGTTTTAAAGTGCATGAATTATTAAAAAAAAAAAACAATAAAACTGACTGGAAAATTGAAACAAATTTAAATTACCCTTACCTACAAAAGTAGTGGCAAAGGAAGGTATCTTATTAGGTTCGTCTTTTGGAAGCCAGCAAGTCATCATTGCATAGGATGGAAAGCAATGATGAAACTGAAATCCTTGCTGCAAAATATACGGTTAGTTTATTTAGCTTTTGTCTGCATCATGTTTTTCTTGGTGGGGAGGGGGGGTTGTGGGGAGAGAAAAGCCCACATCAATCAATCTGCAGTTGAGTTAAATAATAATGATGATGACAAAAAACAAAATCGTTTTGTCATTTTTTCACTTTCACTCTATTACACATTTTGCTAAAAAAATTTTGACAGTTTGCAATTTTGTTTATTAACAGGGACCGCGGAGCAGGTGGGGCTGGGGGGCTACAGCCCCCCCAATAATATTTCCGATATTTTGAATTTTCTTAAAGAAGTGAAGAGCCTCCTTATGAAGTCTTTGGGATTTTATTGATAATATTGCTGACCGTGTCTGCGGTAAATATGTCTTGGATAAYGCCTCAAAACGCTRSAAATGGCATTTCCGAGAGTTAAGATTTCAGAAATTTCCGACCCCCCTAGTACCTCCTCGCCGCTAGCCCCCCCAAACAAGATCCCACTCCGCGGTCCCTGATTAACATAACTTATTTACAGCAATGAATGTACATACAAAATACAGGTTGAAAGTCATTATATTCTAGTTACCTTAACAGCTATTGGTATCCATGTTGATTTATTGATAGGAATTTTTAGCCAAACCCCTCTAATACCACAGGTTTTGTAACTAGCCAAGGATGCTGTAAATAAAACAATTAGCGATTACATAATCTCGTAACTATTAAACAAAACTTATAAAGTGCCACAGGAGTACTACGTTTATATCCACTTCTGTTTTAGAGACTTACAGACTTAAAACAAACCTTCCAAAATATTTTTAAAATCATCATCTTCATAGTCATGTTTGTAATCGACGGCAGTGAAATCGACAGTGATGCCGCCAAACCTTAAAAATAATTTACGATTGTCAAGATAAAATTATCACTACACATGCCATTAAAATCACGCAAAAAAAACCTTATCCCTGCTTTACTTACATATCACTCTTTCCTTGAAGGATGTTAGGATTCTTTCTTATTGAGTCATAGTCAGCCATGATTTCATAAAATCTACAAAATTTCCAAGAAGAAGATGTTTGTGACTATTTATAATAAGTATAGCCAGGCGTTCCTCGTTGATATTGCGAAAGAGCGCGGCTCCCCAGCTCACTGGTATTTTTCAAAATGGCGGCAAGGAGGATACATCGGTTTCGTGAAAAACTTATGAAATTGTGGTCTGATTGAGGCAAAACCTCGTATCGTCAACGCTTAATATGAAGCTTGTAAGCAAGAGCTTCGAGAAAGATAGTAGTGGGTAAGTATTACTGTTTTATTTGATTTTTATTTCGATTATTGAAGTACTTATTTTGGCGGGTAATGTCTGAATTTTTTGTACACATCATCATCAATAAACTAGCTGTCACGCAATAGAAGATTCTGTCTAGATTCAACTTTCATTGTAATATTATTTCATTTCAATGCCTTAATAACGTATGGAACGCTTTTTTCTGTTTGGTAGAATCTTGTTTGAAAAGATTTACAAAACGATAACATTGTTTGACAACTAACATGAGTTTCTCACATTGTTATTCAGTAATAATTAAACTTTTGATTCGTTTTCATGTAACTCTTTCATTTAGGACGATATCAGAGGGATTAATTCACCAGTCAAATTCCTATTAATACATACAAATTGTTTGAGGGTATATAATAATTTACTACTGATAGCTAGTTTGACTTTTAAAATATTAATTTATTTACAAAATACTTAAAACAAAATATTTAATTCAGGCATGTCACTCTAATCCCTGATGAGGCAGAGGATATGTGGCATGCTTACAATCTGATTGCTGTTGGGGATCGTCTTAGGTCTACTACCATAAGGTAAAGGTTTTTGACCATATTTGTGTCGGTCATTTTACATGCACATCCTTTAGTTTTATCGTATATTTTGTATGAGTCTGCAACAGATCATATTGTGACCATGTTGATACCATGTTATGTATAAATGCTCTCTTGGCATTCGTACTATATGTGCAGTGAACACTGATTCAATTTACCCTATTTCATTATGACGTCACATCAAAAAATTCTATAATTGTATAACTCCCACAGCTTTAAAAGGAGTGCGTGATATTATTGTTCTGCATAATTATATTATTTTAATTAATATTAACTAACTTTCAAAACTCTTGCCAATGTCATGGTCACTGATTGGGGTCTAGAAACAACATCAAAAACTCTTTTGTCTGCTAAACAACATAGCACCTTGATCAAAGATGACAGTCCAACATCTCTCAAACTTTAACACTAACATGCATGAGATTTTCAAACTGTTTGTGTTAGCCCTTTGCCATTAGTCCCACAATAAGCAGCCATGATATAACAACATTTTTTAAGTTGTCAATCAGATTAAATTGACACTCATTTATCATGCATTAAAATTCATTTGACAGGCGAGTTCAGACTGAGTCAGCTACTGGTTCTGTCAGCAGTAACAAGATTAGAACGACCCTCACTCTTGCTGTTAAAAACATAGAGTTTGACACTCAAGCTTGTGTTTTGAGAGTCAATGGACGAAATACAGAGGAAAACCAGTTTGTTAAAGTAAGGTGCCAACACAGTAATACATGAAAAAGTTATTGGATAATATTTATCAATTTATGGCTGACTTCCGGAAATATGATATTTCTTTGACTTGTTGATGACTGATTCATTGAAATATTCATTCATTCCAGCCATCAATCCTATCCCATCTATCTAACTAGTCATTCATCCAGTCATTCATTATTCCAATCAATCATCCCACATACCACATCCTCTTTTTTTCATATTTCATCTCATTCATTTATCCTATTTCATCCATCCATCTATGCATCCATTGAAGCTAAGGCTACTGGAGCAATCATTCTTCCATCTGTCCATTTCTTGTTTTCTCTTATTCATGCATTCATAAACTAATTGATTGCCTAACCTGATACAACTAACTAACTTTAAGATTTTGTGAGGCCAAATAAATGACTAGTGAACTGATTATTGAAATAATATGATAATCATATACTTGATAAATTTGTTATTGATTGATTGGTTGATTTATTTTTAGATGGGAGCTTACCATACTATAGATCTTGAACTGAATAGAAAGTTTACTCTTATAAAGGACCATTGGGATTTCATAGCACTGGATAGAGTAGGTAAGAGCTCCTTTCTCAGTAAAATGCACACGTTATTGCTAGGGCATGCACATTCTTCATTATAGACCCCTTGCAGTTCATGGGAATGCAGCTCCAACTGGAGGACAAAACAATAGATTCTAGTTCCCAAGAGGATAAAAATSTTTTGTTTTGTCCTCCAGATGAAGCTGCTTTGACGTCACATGCAAGGGGTCTATACTATTTCCTAAATATCCAAGATATCGAAAATATCCAAGTAAAGAGTGTACATTGTTTTCCACTAAAACCCTAAACAACAATTTCACTAAATGTGATCAATCTATCTCAATTGTAATGACATATACATGTATATTTTAGAGATTTACTCTTCATAGATATTTGAACTTCTTTGACATTTTTATCTTCAGAGACAGCTTGTGATCCTACTCAACATGCAGATTTAGCAGCAATCATTTTACATGAAGGTAATGAACCCCCTATTATAAGTGGGATCAATGATTTTTTGTTGCATGGCATATTGGCTAAGTTGATAGAAAGTATAGGAGAGCTACTCAGGGTCTTCAAATAAATGTTATTGCATCATGTTTTTAGTTTTTGGTATATTATCTTTATTGTTGTTTTCATTGTAGGGCTGTGCCATATATGTTTAGTAACCTCAAGTATGACGGTTGTCAGAGCAAAAATTGACATGAATGTTCCAAGAAAAAGAAAAGGTTACTGTGCTCAGCATGACAAGGTATTTATTTGATAATATATTCCTTCCCTCTTTTATACATTATCTCTTAAAATAGGAGTTTTATGATAAGTTACGTACAAAAAAGGAAAGAAAATAATAAATAACTGATCAAATAAATGGTTGTAGGTTGGTCTATTCATTACGATGTAAGCGCTACTTCAACCTAAAAGTTATGGCTTTTGTCCAGCTTTCGGCTCACCGAATAACTGCTTTAACGACTTAATTGCTTTAACCAGATAACACTTGTACTGCTAATGAAAGACTCAGACCCCACACTCTACCTCAGAATTTATTGTTGCTGTTGATAGTGTACAATAGGTCACATCTGACCTACAAACTAAGTAGTTAATGACTCACTTACATCAGTCTTATTATTCACAGGGACTTCTAAAGTTTTATGATGCAATTATTCAAGGGATCCTCAGGCACATCAACTTTGATGGTATATTGACTTTGTCTTGTGCTTTTGGTTTAGTTTGGTCTAGTGCATTTTTATAAATAGTATTACTTTTTCTTTGTACAATCAGTTGTAAAGTGTGTACTGGTTGGAAGTCCAGGATTTGTGAAGGTAAGATATGATTTAATTGCTAAACAACAAACTAATGTAACTATTTTACTGTTAGTATTATAAATGGATAATTTGGTGATCCATCAATTATAATAATTTGGCATATTTTGATTGGATACCTATTCATTGAAGCGTTCTAAAGGCCAATTTGGTGCATCTTTTGCCTACAACTATTGCATGCAAGTCATCACAACAACATGGCTACAACTGTCGTGAGGTTATCAAACAATTGTTTTTAGTCTCTAAGTTGTAGCCATGTTGTAATGATGACTTACATGTAGGCATGTTGCATGCATGCGATAGTTGTAGGCAAAAGTTGTACTGGTCTAAATTGGCCTTAACAGATAGACTATTTATAATAATTAATCCATGAACTTTACTTTCATTCTTCATTTGACTCAATTTCAATGACATAGAGAACTGTTAGCAGCTCTAGGTGTGGGTGAAGGGAGACACAAGGAGAGGGGTCTGAGGTGTAGAGGGGACATGCTAACGTTATCATTGTCATTTTCTTTTCAGGATCAGTTTTTTGATTACATGATTCAACAAGCAACAAAATTGGAATGGAAAGTTTTATTAGAGAACAAATCAAAGTTTCTTTTGGTGAGGCGACATTAGCAATTTCATTTTCCTTTTGTTGCTTTTCTTTGGTTTGTTTTCTTTTGTTTTCGCGTTTTTTATTAAACTTTCTATTTATACATTAAAGGTGCATTCTTCATCAGGACATAAGCATGCTTTGAAAGGTGAGAAGAAATCATGTAAGGGATCTATGATCTATTTTTAACGACGGTAATTGTGGGTTGAATGATATAGTAAGCATTAGGGCTTGTTTACCGAATTTTTATTCAATGCTAAAGGTGTGACAAATATATCTATTGATTCATTTTTGTTACAGAAATTTTATCAGATTCTTCAATTGCAAGCAGGCTTGCAGACACAAAGGTACAGTAGATTATACTCGCCTGAGCTCTTTTTTTAGGAAAGAAGTACGATTTACATGAAAGCTAGACTTGTTCCCTCAAGGTAAAACTTTTCTTTTTTCATTTAGGCCAGCAGCGAAGTAAAGGCCCTTGATACATTTTATTCTACACTTCAAAATGAACCAGACAAAGCTTATTATGGGTAAGAGCTAAACGTTTACACGGGATCTAAATTTCTTGAAAACTTACTGTAAAATGATTAGACTAGGCCACACGACCGTGTAATGCATGAGTCAACGGTAACCCCGACCCCCCCCACCCCGGGACAAGGTGGGGATTAGAGGGGGATAGTGRGGGAATAGAACAATTATTATCCCCAACATGGTGTGGGATTGGAGCTTTTTAGAATGAACCTTCCCCGTGGGGATAGGGCATAGGTGGGGATTCGACAAGACCCTGCAATTTCTAGGACAGCGGTTGTCTTCAACAAGATGCTCCATGCTTGAATGCTAGAAGGTGAGTGTTTTTGTTATTCAAATCAACTTGCATCTAGTGCTTGTAAAAGCCATCCTTGTTTAAGAAGGATATAAAACAGGAAAAATGTAATTGAAGAATAATTCACAATGACTATTTGTCACTTTTAACTTGACCTTCACCTCTTTTGACCTTGTACATAAATCGTTCATTATTATGGCGAATAACCTATGTATTAAATTACTTTTTAACTTTTTTCTCGATCATAATACAAGGAGGCAAACTAATTTAAATGTCAGGCTACTAATGATTAGAGTTTTCTACTTTAATTTAATTCTCAGTTTCAATCAAATCATGAACTGGAAGAAGCTTTGATTTAAATTGTTCTCATATTTGTTCTTTCCTCAGAATAGTATACCGGTAAATGGCTGGAAGACAACCTCCAATGAATGAATGAAATAAAGTGTGATACAAAAATAACTATATTTTTTGTAATGCTTATCTACAAAGGGGAAAAGCGAAGGACAAAAATATCCTGCCCCAGGGGTAGGGCTTTTGGTGGTNTAACATAGTCCCCAGAGTCAGGGGCATTATCACATGTTAAACTTCACATTTTTTCTAATCCCCACCTTGTCCCGGGGTGGGGGGGGTCGGGGTTACCGTTGACTCATGCATAAGCAGAACATAGGACAAGGGAATGAAGTCAAGGGTGCGACATATTGTGTTGACATAAGCATACATGTAGCAATATAAAGTATGAAATCAAGAATCAGTCATAATCAAAGATAAATATAAAGAAAGAAAAATGCCGTTTTTCTTATTTATGTCGTCGAATTAAGGGTGTGGTGTGGGGTTTTAGGACAAGCTCCTCCTCAGTTTCTAAAACACAGCACACTTGTGACATCATAGTGTGGAGTTATTAGAGTGATTAGAGTTCTGAGTCTCCAAACGAAAAGATGTGAATAAATTCACTATTTCAAATCAATTTCAAATGTAACACATGCTATTTCGTTCATGCTTTTCGTGTATATTTACGTTTTTGTTTATATTCTTTTAGAATTGGTCACGTCGAAAAAGCCAACGAAGCCATGGCGGTAGAAACTCTTCTAGTTACGGACAAGCTCTTTAGGTATCTCGATTTGATTTGACATCAGATCAAAATAGGAAAATAGTAGCCGCGTTTTTCAGTTGTTTTTCAGGTTTTTCCACTTTTCAACCAGGTTGATTGATGCCTTATTATCTTTTTGCTTAAATCCACTGCGTTATTAGAGCGGATTTCGTATGAGTGGGACACCGTTACCGCACGGATACCGCACAGTTACCGGACCTGGCCTGCAGAATTTTGGTGAACCAATGGGGCACTAGAATTTGGTTACAGTACGATTACGGTCACAGTACAGTACCGTCCGTTTCCCACTCATACGAAATTCGCTCTATGAAGACCCCTTCCACTGGTACTGACCTGCTCTGGGCTCTTATTACACTTGAATGAAACCAAGAGCAATGATTTGCGCATGATCAGTCGCAGTCTTAGCAAGCTTACATTGAAAAAATAAGGGATACTTTTTCCATAAATTATTGTTGGGCACTTATTACACTATAGTTTTCCTGTTTAAGCTTAACCTTGTTTCCCTTTCCACAGATCGGCAGATCTCGCAACTCGTAAACGATATGTCAACCTTGTCGAGAGCGTGAAAGATAATGGCGGGGAGGTCAAGTAAGTGAAAAATCATTTAAAAGGCTCAACTTAAATAAACCGAGCAACATTCTGAGTACATGAATTGTAGTTCTCGAAATTTTGGAATAATATATAACTATGCAGTAGAAAGGCACAACTTTCACGTGGCCATTGCGCTTAAACTTCTAGTGATAGTTATGATTATAAACCGCAGTCAAAAACTATCCTTAGAAAAGTCGGGGGGGCTTACTTTTGAGCTCCTATTGTATGAATCTCTCCCGTTTCTCACTCAAAAGCTCCTGGGTTTTCGAGGATGCAATTTACCTTGGTGAGGAATTAACAATACTTTATTTTTTTTTTTTTTTTTTTCTTAGGATATTCTCAAGTCTGCACGTTTCCGGTGAACGTAAGTTGAATTATTTAAGTCCGGTTTTCAGTCCATAATTTAACTTTATGTAACCATATGGTCTTTGATTGCAGAACTTGGCCAGCTTTCTGGAGTTGCCGCACTTCTCCGTTTCCCAATGCCAGACCTCGCTGACGAAGAAGAGGAAGACGACGGATCAGATTCGGATCAGGACTAGACCGCCAGAACTCATAGAAATCAAAGAAATATCGTCTCTTTGACACTAAATGGTGCACCAAAAACAGCATCATCTTTAGTCGATGGGACAATTATGAATTATATTCCTTGAAAGGCAGTGCCTTCTCAATGCATTCTACACTGGAAAAAATCGCTCGCCGGGAACTCTTGTAATGATAGGAATACGATGTAAATTCGATTTACGGGATATTTACATACATTTCCCATCATATTTACAGGGTTCAAAGCGCGCGATTTTTTCCAGTGCTAGTCGCCATATTTAATAATTCCATAGCTCATTTTAAAGAGATTTAAATATTAGAAAATGGAAATGAATTTTTCTGAAAATAAAAATTATGTTATTTGAGTTTGTTTTTGTCGAGTTAATTCTACTGCAATTCAATTGCATTTTACTTCGAGAAAGACAAAATTTGACCGTTGGTAAGGTAAATTTTTAGTGTTATCATTCTTTTGTACTGCGATGCAATCTCGTACCCAGAGCCGCCGTGCTGACCAAGAGGAACGGCGGCTCTGGGTACGAGATTGACTGCGATGCTTTGTGGGATGGTGCCTTGATTCAACTGAAAAACTGCGTGATTGGTACACTGTAAAGATACCCTGGGACTGCCTGAGGCTGGATTTACTCGTTCTTACTGAGTGCATTTAAGCCGCAATGCAAACAGTGCAGAGTGCACATGTGATGCAACAACACAACGCACTGACACTTAAAGGGACACTCAATGGCACGCATGCGCGAGTAAACTTGAAAACATTAGGCTAGTGTTTTCAAGTTTATGACTCCAAGTTGGCGCGACATAAATCAGCTCGTAAACGTAAACAGATCTAGAATATTCCAAAGTGTGTCAAAAGCACCACAAAATGATTTACCTCGAAGGTAATACTTTCAAAGTCCGTTAGAGGTGAGACTGTTACTGCGCATGTCATCCATTGACAATGTCCCTTTAAAACTCAAAATGAGTTTTCATCTATTCAGTATTATTCTTACAATTTCTGTAATTAATCTTATATCACTATATATTACAGTAACTAGAATTGGATAATTTTGAGAATTCCAATTTTTGGCGGGAATCTAAAAACGAGCCCACGATATATCAGCGGAACTGTACTCTTATATACTTTTAATATAAACATCAACATTGCATTTGGTTGGTGAAATGTGATATGACTTGGAGAGTTAAAATATGGAGCGGATTTCCTCCAAATTCGTCCACATTTTGTTATTGTCAGAGCATCTTAGATCACGACTTCATGCTGAAAGAAACCCTGAAATGATCAAAGATCGAAGATACCATTTACGGATGTACCAGTGTTGTTTAGTGGGGAAAGATTTAGTGGATTGGCTCGTAAAACATGGCGAAGCTTGCAATCGATTCGTTGCCGTGCAATGCATGTGTGTTCTTCAAGAAAGCAATCTCCTCCATCATGGTAAGAACTGGCAAAATAACATGGACTTTAGACCCTGGTTTCAGCTTCGATTTCAATCCGAGTCGAGATTTTTGTTTTGATTCACGGACTGTAAAGCTTATTTCTAATTTTTCTTTGTTAAAAGAGCTTAAGCTTACATCCTATTATATACTGTGGATTCATAGATTTGTATTTGCCTTTCTTGGACATTTTCTTAGCTTATATGATCAGTAAGGGTTGCATTTTAGTTTGGGCATGTTATTCACTTTCAAAATCGCGAACATGTAGTATATTCGACCAGTAAATTTATTCTTCAGACCATGTGGTCCCATGTGGTTATGACCCCGTGTAAACACATACAATTCCTATAAACAACACTTTATGAAATTGTACAATTGTACAAAAAATTGAAAATTAAGCAGCTCAAGTGCAATAAGTGAGGTATAATTTTTATCTGGAGATTTGGAGATTGAATATAAGTAATATGCTAACTTGCATACTGACAGTTTGTTGTTCTGTTTGCTGGTACCGTTCCGTCCCGTGCTGGGCATCCTTTATTACAGTCCTTGGAATTGTTAGCGTAATAATTCAAAAATTGTTTAAGTAAATTGTGACTTTTGCAGTGAAATATGAACAATCTAATTGCTAATATAAAGGGATTGATTAAAATGATTTGAACATGATATTTCATTTCAGTTTGTGATGATCATATGTTCAAAGATGAGATGCTATTTTACCGTTTTCGCCTTGATGATAACACTATGCCTATTACACGTGACATTGAACTGGTACTCAAGGGTTATGATATATCTCAAAGGTTAGATCAAATTGAAATTTGTAATATATATATAATTCTTTCTCTACAAGAAAGGGCAAAGGTTTTTAGGTCAAGGGAAACAAACATATTTACATTTTTGCAATATAGAGAAGGGCGATCCATTAGACTTTTGAGGSGGGGGGGGGGGGGGGGGGGGGGGGAATGGAACATTTTGAAAAAAATCCTTCACGGCCTGAAGGGCTGAAAAAAATTCCTGCAAGGCAAAATCTCCACTAAAATAAATCTCCACTAAAGCTTTTGTAAACTTACAAAAATAGGCCTTCCATCCCCCCTCCCCCCTCAAAAGTCTAATGGATTACCCCTAATAGTGTGCATTTGTTTGAATTCTCCTGTTCATATAATTGTTTTATATGAAAACCCGATTTTAGTTTTAAACAATTGCTTGCTTGATTGCCAGGATTGTGGAAAAATGTAATACAAGCAACATGAGCAAACTCATTCACATGCAAATACAATAAACACTAATCCAGTGATCATGACAATATTAATAGCAATTACATGGAAACACTCTGGAGTATTCTGATGTTCTTAATGGTGTGGAATGCTGGAATCAATAAGAAAAAACGTTCAAGTATATTCCTAGTGAAGATAAAGCCAACAGTTACTAGTATACAAACTAAGGCCAATTTCTTTTTTCTATTGTCTAATTGTTTTAGTATACTAATAACATACTAATCGGTCAAATAATGAAAACAAATTGAAATGTCCTTAAAATAATTTGTTAATGAGATGCCGCCATTTTGATTTTCCCGCGAGTGGTCTATCACAAATTGCACCATTAGTAGAGTAACCAATCACAGCGCAGTATTAGTGATAGACCATTAGTATGTTTATACTAATCAACATTATTGAGTAGTAATTATTACTTTTTGTTTCACGGTGAAGGTCCAACTCAATTATTGAAATATCAAAGCCAAGCTTTAATTAATACAAAAGCAACATTTTTCCTGCATGATGTAAAATTTATTAGAGTCAAGTTAATCCATCAATCCATGTATTGTACAAGATTATAAGTGTGGAGAATGAGCTATATCATGGTATTTATTGAAAATTTCTTTTATCCTTTCTAATCAGAATTAAGTCAGATGATGTTAACATGGTAAAGAACCAGGAGTGTGAAGATTATGTGTACCGTAGTTGTTTTACTGGTAGTGCTTTAGTAGACTGGATGGTAGAGGTTCATCAAACCAATGACAGGTTTGAAGCTGTTATGCTGGGAAGAGAGCTACTGGAACTAGGCCTCATGAAACATGGTAACTATTCAAAACATTCATTTGTGTGGCTACTTAGCTCTTATAAAAACTGACCCAGTAACAGAAATTAAGTGATTTTTCCAATTAGATGAGATTTCCATTTTTTATCTTAATTTAATATTGACTCTGATTGTTTTATGTATTCCAACTGTGTCATAATTTGCTCTCGACTGAAAGGTTTTATCATCTCTCACAGACATTCTTAGTCTCGCCGCAAAAATTCATTCGCGTTCGTGGTGAGTGAATTTTCGTGGCCAGGCTACAAATGCCTGTGGGAGAGGCTAGAAAGGTTTAAAAAAAAGTTTAATTTTTGCCTCTAAATTCTTATGAATATCCTTTCATTAATGTATACATTCATTATTATTATTTATTAAATGAATTTTCCAAATTTAACCAGTGACAGACGACCACCACTTTAAAGATGACAGCAACCTTCATTTTCAATTTGTCATTGATAAGATTATATCTAAGAAGTTATTGGATGCTCTGGCATTGCTTAACTGCAGTGGACTGACCATTGCACCCACTGGCTCACCACTCCTGACCAGAAAGACATTGGCATCCAACAAGAAAAATGCTGTTCCACCTCTTACGCTGCCTAAGCGTTCTGTCCCAGTGCCTCTCAATGGTAGATATGTATATAGTAAGTAATGAAGGGATTGTAGTATAAATGTAATAGTTCTGATGGATCCTATGAAAGATGGAGAACTCCTCTAGAGGATGTATTTATTTGCTGCATTTGAATGTCAGACAATAGTGAGGTGCTTCGAGTGGAGGTCTTTTTGTGTGGAAATCAACCATGGCAGACAAGTATGTGCAAGAATGATGCATTATGCAGTTAAAGGGTGTTTGTTACTGCCGATAGGTATGTGTGGCATGGAGGTAGCTGGTGCAACAAAGAAGTGACCATTGTGTTCCACAGGGACTGGAGTAACTTACTGCAGGGAGGTGTCTGCTGCAGGGAAGTGTGTGTAGTAGGGAGGTTTCTGCTGCAGTGAGGTGTTAGCTGTGGTAAGGTGTCTGCCGCAGGGAAGTGAGTGCTGTGGGAAGGTGTCTGCTACAGGGAGGTGTGTGCTGTGGGAAGGTGTCTGCTTCATGGAGGTGTCTGCTGCAGGGAGGTGTTAGCTGCAGTGAGGTGTTAGCTGTAGTAAGGTGTCTGCTGTAGGGAGGTGTGTGCTGTGGGAAGGTGTCTGCTACAGGGGATGTGTGCTGTTGGGAAGTGTCTGCTTCAGGGAGGTGTGTGCTGTAGGGGGGTGTCTGCTGCAGGGAGGTGTGTGCTGTGGGGAGGTGTCTGGTGCAGGGGGGTGTGCTGTGGGGAAGTGTCTGCTGCAGGGAGGTGTCTGCTGCAGGGAGGTGTCTGCTGTAGGGAGGCATTACCTGTGGAAAGGTGTCTGTTGCAGGGGGTGTGCTATGGGGAAGTGTCTGCTTCAGGGAGGTGTGTGCTGTAGGGGGGTGTCTGCTGCAGGGAGGTGTCTGCTGTGGGAAGGTGTCTGCTGTAGGGAGGTGTGTGCTATATGAAGGCATGTGCTTCAGGTATGCTAATGTTGCAGGGAGGCATTATTGAAGTGATGTACATGTTGTTAGGAGGTGTCTGTTACAGGGAGGTGTCTACAGTATGGAAGTGTTGCAGGAGGGAGGTGTGTACTGTAGGGAGGTGTATGCTGCAAGGAGGTAAATAGTGCAGTGGTGCATGATTTACATGTTTAGATGCATGCTGTAAAGAGGTGTCTACTTAAGGGAGGTGCCTGTTTTAGGGAGGGAAGTGATGATGTCTACATGTGTACTTCAAGGAATAGTAGTACAAAGAGAGGTGTGATAAAAAGAAAGATGCACTTTTTTGGCAGTGAGTTAGCTCTCTCTAGACAATTTGTTTTTATTTCTAAAAAGATCCAGAAAGTCCAGAGATTTCTCCTAGTAATAGCAGTCCTGATAATACGTCACCTAGACCAGGTGAGTATAAGTTATAACTTGTCTGAACAATGTTTAAATTTGGTTACTTTTTTTCTTGCACTATTTGATGTTTTTTTATTAGAATAAAAAAAGAAAAACTTGGTCATGCAATCTATTATATTGACTAACCAAAAGTATTCAAAGACAACTTCTCCCAGAATGAAAAAAAAGAATTGTGCTTTCATGCAGTTTTGTTTTAATTCTTATTGATGTTTCAGTCATTGTAAGAGAGATCACAGTGGATGAACTATTGGACTCTACTGGTCCCTATGCTATGAAGACAATCAGGGTAAATATACTCACATGTTGTTTTCTCATTGTTAATTGATCAAAGAAGGAAAAGGTGGGCAATAGTTCTTTTTAGGAAACAGCAAAGGTGTAAAACAGGTCCCATCCACATGAGTCCAGAGATTTTGTATCCCAGCACAAATGTATTAATGCGGATATAGCTAGCCTCCACACGTGTTCACTGTATGCTATTGGTGTCTCAGCATTGTCTCCAAAGTGTTCTGTATATGATGTGTCTCCGGAGATGTGTTTGGACGCTGGTACCTTGATATTTTGGCTAGTATCTTAGTGATTTTGAAAAACGTTGTTTGCAAATACTGAATACTATATATAGTGTATTGGAGTACTTCAATGCATTGTTGCTAATAAACTTTTGAATGGCAATACAACAAGCAGCAATGCATTTCAATCTTGAAAAATACAATCTTCAGTATTCAGCGTTTCCTGAGATAGCCATACATGACATTACAGCATCAGCGCATGATCTGTTGATTATTCCTCTGATATTTCTGAGTGCGTAGCTGATACGTGTGGTCGGTTGTATTACCTAACTTTGTTATGTCATTGTCAATTTAAGAGGCAAAGAAATATAATTTGAATCATTTTATACATGTTGCGGTAAAATGATCATTTTAATGTTTTAAAAAACTCATTTATTTATATTCAGCGATTGCTGTCACTATTAGTTGGTATCAAACTTTTAATCTATTCTTTTGTTCTTTTCTGGTTTTTCATAGTTGATATAAATCACAAATCACATTTTTGGAACTTCAAATACAGTTTTTGAAGTTAACTGAACACATGCAAGATAGCACTCTTTAAGTTAGGCTAGTTTATTTACATTCAGTGATTCCTGCCTTTCAGATAATGAGTGATTCAGTTGGTTTTGGCTTTGTTGTCCGTGGACAGGAGCCAGTATATGTACAGACCGTCGACCCTGAAGGACCAGCCGCTGCCGCTGGATTGAGAGTGAGTATATCTTTGGATTTCAATACTATTTTCAGTCGATATTAACAAGTATTAACTTGATTTGCTGTAAATTTACAGGTAAGAATGTTTATTCACTCTGTCAATGGTAAAGATGTTCTTCATTGGTCTCACAAAGAGGTCGCTAAGGAAATCATGAGAGGACGAAATGTTGTCGACCTTGTAGTAATGACGCACTTCAGAGGTTCGTGATACTTGTAGCCTTTGCCTTCGCGTATTATGACGAATTGATGAAAGGTTGACGATAAGCGATAGCTACATGTGTATTTTTTTTTCTACGTATTTTGCCTCAGCTGATTTTTCTTGTTCATTCATAAGAAAGTAAGTTAATAGTGTATTTCCAACTAAACAAATATAGTACATTACAAAGTCAACTTCAGGCGAAGTCTTTCCTGTGTATTTTCGACACTTTCTTCACAATTACGTGTGAATCATTCACTTTGCGCAATATGTAACTTGAACGACTGTATATTTACTTCCAGACAAAATTATTTTGAAATATTTTTTGGATATACTTGTGAATAGAGGCTGGTCCTCCTCTTTCCTCTTTTTTTTTTTTTTTTTGATTTGGTTGTTTTCAATATTTCTTTTACTTGTAGTAGATTAATTTAGAATTTTCAAATTTCCAAGTTTATTTGCATATTGTTGTACATAAATTTAAAATTGTAATATATATTATATTAATTGAAAAAGGTGTATGATCTGTAGTTTACTATGAATAGATGAGGTGACGGTTTCGGCCACCATTTTGTTCCGGTAGGCGAAGTTTCGCAAAATAACAAGGAATGACCGGGAAATCGATGTCAAATAATTCTCGCTGAATTCAAATTCAGAAAGAATTATCAATTGCAAACGTTAGATACCTCAAAAAGGAGTTAACGGGCAAAATTTGAAAGGCGTACTTGATCTAGAGAGCGAGTAAACTCATTTTTAGTTCTCCATACATTTCTTTGTAATTTCAATACATTTCGTTATCATTTCCGGGGTCATCAGTGCGTGACGCGCGTGAAAAATACAAAGAAATGTATGGAGAACTAAAAATGAGTTTACTCGCTCTCTAGATCAAGTACGCCTTTCAAATTTTGCCAGTTAACTCCTTTTTGCAGTATCTAACGTTTGCAATTGATAATTCTTTCGGAATTTGAATTCAGCGAGAATTATTTGACATCGATTTCCCGGTCATTCCTTGTTATTTTGCGACACTTTGCCTACCGGAACAAAATGGCGGCCGAAACCGTCACCTCATCTATTGAAAATTAAAAAGTTTGACAAAACAATTTGTTGTGATTTCATTTTCATCGCTATTCTGTGCGGACTTGATAAAGAACGCTTCGCAACCAAAAACAACAATAAGACACAATCTGGTCAAGTTTTAAGAATTCCCTTGGAGAAGCCTTTCAAACATAGTCGATTGACCAAAGGTTGTCGTCAACCGGACTTCGTACATGTTTGTAGCACGCGACCCAACCGAACAGGTTTCTGGGTAAAATTTAATACCTTCTACTGGCTTATTGTAAATCTAATCAAAAATTCAGATGTTTAATTTCAGTCTGCCAGCATGTTAAAGGATTTGACACAGAAACAGAAAGTGATCTTTCTAAAAAAACATGAACCACCCTGGTTGAAATGACCTACTCCCTTTTACCATGTCTTCTTGACACGACCCTCACTATCTTGAATTATACAAGTAAGTATAGGATAATAATTTTGCATGCCCCCCTTTTACTATGATTTTTGTTTGAGTGCCTTCCTCAGACCACCAGTCCCCCCTTTCTACTCATAATGAACGGTCCCCTGTATGCCAGCAGACCAAACTGATATTTGAATGAAATTTGACTGTCTTGATCATCCAGAAAGAATAATAATTTTACTTCATGGCTTGCCTCTTTTATTATAAAGATTATTAGTCATCATATGGTTTGACTGAGTTATAATTAGCCCAAAAATCAATTTACTGGTGTCAATATTCGTGTCTACATCAGAATACATGGTGACAGTTTCCGTGCTTAATATTTTACTTGAATGATCTCCGGTTTCCCAACGCAAACCAAGAGGAACGTACGTTGGTTCTGGAACGAGACCGTCATAGGAAATCGATTTTATAGTCATCGATATATAACCATGGTCATTGGTGAACTCTCGGTTGTTTGCATGTTTATGGTACAAAAATTCCAAATTTCTTCCGACTTCCCTTGATCCTTTGTGCGCGAGTGAAAAAAGAAGAGTAACGACTGGGTACGAGTAAAGCCGCCATATTGTTTAGCCCAGGGATAATTCTATTTTGTACAACTGAGTACAAGCCTCTTCTACCTAGGAGGGTGCGTTTACTTCATAACGTGTTTTTAAAACCGGAGATAAACGTGATCGGTTTGGTCTATTGTGAATTAAGCGTCTGAAATAATTCTCAACTCTTATTATGCGGAAGGAAGCTTTAGCTAAAGACACAATACTAAGCCCAGACTACAGCTTGATTTCTATGATGTCATTGTTTTGAAAGGATATTCTAATCAAATATAAAGACGTTTAACAAAATGGACGCCGCTCATTACTGTAATTTTTCTTTTCAACAAAAGAAAAACTTTATTCCCTGTTATTCCTAATCCCACAATTCTTTTCAATCATTCTCCGTACAAAGCATAAAGAAATTGAGAGAGGGACTGGGRAAGAGAGTATCTGTGTCTCTTGCACAGTTTGTGCGAAGGATAGGTTTACAGTTTATGTGTACGTCTGATGGCAATTAGTTCATGTTAAACCTTGACACTTCATTAACAGTCCTTTCACACACATGTACTTATCTATATCGCACGCCAAAACACGAAGATAACGAAGAACGGAGTATAAGGGATTTCTGTACTTTGATAACTGCTTAAAGGAATGCTTTAGAAAGCGCCATGATAAATACAAGATCGTCCAACAAATGATCAACCAGCTTATATCAAATGATCACTATCATCCAGTACCCATGATGCTGTTCGGTCGTGAGTTTCCGTTCCCCCTCGAGTTACATTTTTTTCTGAAATGAAGCGAAGTTAATCTTGTTCAGTTCTTTTTGTTATATAATCAGCATAATTATGTTCGACAGGAAATAAAAGGGCTAGACAAAACCAATATCAAATATGATAGCTGGTGTGGTTCATTGTGATTTCAAGGCCTGTTTTTTTATTCCATTCCTGACGACGAATGATCCGGATCGCACAGAGAAGTTAAAGTAAACTTGAGGCTGTTAAGGGTGCGATATTTGGTAAGAGTTAGTATTTCTATTTGTAAAATTTAATTTGCTTGTATATGAATTAATTACAGTTTCAGTAGACTTGTAATGTTACGATACAACACTTTTTAACATTACTGTAATCAGCTGTCAAAATGTTTTTCATCGCAAACGTAGCCATATTATTGACTGTATAGAACTTAGTTGGTAAGGTTCTCGTACTCTTAATCATGTAGCTAGTTCAGTTTGGCTTGTGACTTGACATTTTAGCTCATTTTGATTTCCAGCATTTTGCAGCGGGACTTCGAGCGGAATAGTAGAACTTAGTTTTTCACATTTCGCAACGACTTTTCCGTCGTTTGTGAGTAGCTAATAATTATTAGTATTACCATACTAGTGGACTATTGCAAATCCTTCGTTCCGATTGGCTACGCTAATCGGAGTCTATTTTCAATAGTCCTCGACTAGCGAAAAGCGACAACTTTTTAGCAATAAAAACATTTAGTTATTTATATATTTCATTCCTTTTTTGTCCAACTAGTATGGTAATACTTAGATCTCTCGGCCTCGTGAACTATGAGCTGATAGCCCATGAGGCCTTCGGCCTCTATCAGTTGGTAGTCCACTCGCCCTCGAGATATAATTGCCGTTAAGCAGTGCCAACCACTGACTCGTTATTATTCTCATTATTCTCATTATTATTTTTTTGGTTGTCTGGTTCTTATTTGACTAGCGAAAACTCAATGTAACCTAGAGTAGTTATTGGCGTCCAGTTATGTGTGAAATGTAGAATTGTCCTCACAAAACATTATTGCAAAACAACTGAGAACTTCTCCCTACAAAATTATTCCAACTTATATGCTATAGTTGCTTTGCTAACAAATGGCCACAATCTTTTTTTAGTACTTTTCACTGATATGTTAGGCAAAATGATCCCTGAAATAAACTGAAAAAACAATAAACAAAATTATAGAGAAATATTTCTTCAGATTTGTTTATATAAAAATTTTAATTAAACATGCATTGTCATTGTACTTTTCTGTACAATTATGCTTAAACATTTAAGGGTGAATTTTGTTGAAAAGATAAATTACAGTATGAGCGGCGGCCATTTTGTCAAACGTTCTATATCCTTCCAAAACAATGACATCATAGAAATCAAGCTGTAGTCTGGCTTAGTATTGTGTCTTTAGCTAAAGCTTCCTTCCCCATAAGAGTTGCGAATTATTTCAGACGATTTCACAATAGACCAAACCGATCACGTTGATCTCCGGTTTTAAAAACAAGCTATGAGGTCACAATATAATACTTAAACGTTCCTAAACGCACCCACTAGGTTAAAGAGGCTTGTACTCAGTTGTACAAAATAGAATTATCCCTGGGCTACCAGAAAGTCGTTCTCCTTGGACAAACTCAACGGATGTATGGTACCCACTTGGAGTTTCCTAGTTCATGTAGTCGATACTTTAACTAAGTACTGACATGTACTGAGGTGTGAAAAAGTCAAAAAAAAAGTGATTATATAATACAAACGGCGAACGACAAAAGACATATAGAATAATGTTATAAAATCAAATATGAGTTCTTTTTTCCTATTAGGACTGTTTTTATATCAAATGTTTTTAAACGGCTATTTACCTGTGTGTTTGTTTTGCCCGAAAGTGTAGGGGAATTGCCTTTTAATTATTTGTCTAGCAATAAGTAATATATACAATATGAGCGGGCGATCTGTATGTAGGATATAAATACCGAGAACGGAGGCAATAACCCGAGGGGTTATGATTTCTATTGTATTTTGGCTTATGAATATTAATGACCTTTATAATTATAGTTAAAACACGAGAGAGAGTGTTTTAAACGGCTTCAAAAACTACAACACTAATTTGAAACTCAAGTCCGTTAAAATTCTTGGAGAAATTGCCGTAAAAATAAGTTTTGAGATAAATGGGGCAAACTGATCATGAGCTGATCATGTCACTTTACAAAGCACTCTTGTCATTCCCACATAGAGAACTAAGAACGGCTGCGAGGAGACTACATCCCACATTGAATACGCATAAAGTCAGGCGCGTAGCGTGGACGGTTTGGCTAGTACGCGCACATGTCAGGAACGCGGGACTATATTTTGGATCTAGTGGTCTAACGACCGCCAATTTTGAAATAATAACTCTTGGAAATGGGATTTCCAGCGTTTTGAGAGACATCGAGGGCATATAAAAGGAATCAATTTTATGTTAATTTTTCAGTAATTTTTGTCAAAACTTTAAGTTTCCTTGCCCACTAGTAAGCACGTGCGCATATACGCAAAGGACGCTACGCGCCTGAAAGTAAAATATAACCGCTGTTGGCCGTCTTCTGTGATCGGTTGACATCCTGCGTTTGTCAATGATCAGGTATCAAACCTGAGACGTTTGCTAGTGTCATGGAACTTTATATCTGATAAAGGTCACCCTTATACACCCTTTTAACCCGAGGTATTCTTTTCTCCGCACTTTACGTCAAATTTATTCTTTTGAAATTTTTACTATACAAAAGAAACTGAAAAGAATAAATTTGACGTCAAGTGCGGAAAATGTAATATCTCGGGACTAGGGTGTATAGTAGTGTTTTATATCAGATATAAACGTCCATGCATGTGACAAAATAGTCTCACTCCATTGACCTAATAACTCATGAATTATTGATGAATTGCAGCCTTTGGCGACAACGAGCAAGAGAGGCTAGCGGTACAAAGGTTGGATTCTTACATAATTTGTAATTTTATATTTGCATAACTGTTGAGAATTATGTGCTTTATTGCTTTTTGGACTTAAAACATTTATTTGAATCTTTAAACAAAGACTTTTTAGGTATTTCTTGACGAGTTTTAAAAAACGCATTGTTCACTGTGATAATCACATACATTCTTACCAATTTTCGATCTCTCGCATTTCTTTTAAAAAGCATTATTGGCTCAAAATTTCGTAATGATGCTTTATACAGGAAACTACTAAAAATCCCTAAATAAAATAGCCGAGTTTTTTTATAACGTGATCATTGAAATCCAGCAACACACAAAGGCGACATCTTGCCGAAACAAGGGCGCCAGGACAACCATAACAGTTTTTGAATGATATTACGATTGTATTTGTTATAGCTTTGAGTATCGTAGAAATCCACTTATCTGACTTCTTGTGTATATCTTGAGCAGACTCGTAACATGGTATATCTAGGATCTAGTGAGCCCTATTTTAATGGTGAAAATATTGATCCCTGAGCCCGATTATCACCAAATGTTTGATCCCTGAGCCCGAGAAAACATTTTGAGCCCAATTAAGTTGTTTGCTCAAGAATTGCTTTGAATAGTGTTCAAAAGATCTTAGCTAAAACCGAAGGAGGTCTCCTTATACAGTATGACAAAAAATATACATACTAACACAAGTAGTGTCATGGCTCGAATTAGGAGGAATTGAATCAGGGTTTGAATGGGGTTAACTGTTAACTGAGAAACGGCTAAAATAATAACTGTTAACAGTGAGAATCAGTTCGGGTTTATTTAGCTGTTAACTGATATTAACAAGATAACTGTTAGCTGATATTCCTTTGTTTGCACATAGTTTGCATGTAAGTGAACCTTGTTTCCAGGGCTTCTCTGTTGTTGTTGTTGTTGTTGTTTTCAAAATGGCGTTCACGTGACACCGACTCTCATTGGATGTTTAGTTTGGAATAACGCTGAATGCAGGAGTCAAAAAGATACGACCCCGAAGACAATTCCTTCGCTTTGCATGTGCTACCACACACTCTGGCAGGTACCACCGCTTCGTGCGAACGATCAAAAATGCCTTTTTCGTTGTTAAGTGACTCAAAATTTCCATAAAATTAATGCATTGTGTGTCTTCTCGATTCTCTCAAAATGCTGGAAATCGCATTTCCGAGGATTAAAACTCCAACATTTTCTGGGGGGAATGCCCCCGTACCCCCCTAAGATGTCGCGCCGTCGGCGCTCATCAGCCTCCCACATAATCAACCGCTCCCGGCGCGGTCACTGTCTGGCTATCACGTATAACTACTGATACATTTTAAAAAGTTGACTTGATCAAAGCCATCTAACATCGTTATGAAGGGTGAAAGTATTAGCTTGCTAGTATAGAAAAGGGGAGGAGGTACACTTTGAGAGTTATCGGAGTTCCAATATTGACTACAGTGTTCAAAGCTCAGTATTAAAGCTGAAGAACCATTTGGGGAATTTTCTTAGCCTGAAAGAACACTCTTAAAACGTACTTTTCTTAATAACTGAATATTTAGTTGTTAATCAT